TTGAACATCCACGAAGTGAGCGACCGACGTCGCACCAGGGGGGGATGGCATAGTAGTAGGTAGTAGTAGTAGTAGTAGTAGTAGTAGTAGTAGTCGTAGTAGTCGTAGTCGTAGTAGTAGTAGTAGTAGTAGTAGTAGTAGTGGTAGTGAAGCAGCAGCAGTGCCAGTACAATGACATGGTTTTTTGTTTGAATGATACGGTGTGCAGTGTGTCAAGCGTCTCTTTGCTGCTTGCTGTTGGCCGCTCAGCTGTTTTCCTGGCATGGCCTAGCTTCATGTGCCGTTCTTTGCGGCAGACGAGATGTCTCGTGACGTCTTCACACAAAGGACAAAATACACCAGAGTCTCGAGAGACAACGACCGCGTGTAATTCGATGTCTCCGAAGGATAGACGAACATGCTGAACTCGCCGATTGGCCATGCTGGATCATGCTTTGATAGTTGTGGCGTGGCGCCGGTGAGATGTGCCAGGTCTGACCACACTTGAACCGCAAACCACCCGCTGAACAAAACAATAGCCAAGACAACTCTGCAGTAGCACATTGATATTGAGATGCCTTGAGATTCGGCACGGTGGCCCTCGGATCTCTCCTCCGAAACCCAGAGGCCATAGAGAATCATGATCGTCAAAGGCACCTGGCGAATGAAGTTCGGTGAAAGGAAAAGCCAGGCTCCCAGGAGAAAGCAGAGGACCATACAACTCCATGCTGTTACGGACCAGAACGCCAGTTTGGAGCATGGCTCTCCAGCAACGGCCAGGACGAGCAGAGGCCCCACGAACTCGACCAGCATGCACCCGAACGAGAACAGGAATGTCATCAACGGGGTGTGTGCCACCCAAGCATTGAAGCCAGGAAATATGGAAGGGAAATCTAACAAGTCCTCCCGGATCCAACTCCCGGTAAGAACTGATATCCAACCAGCGTATCGCAGCTTCCCGAACCCTCCCGCCAAATAATATGGCGCCAATATGCACAGGACCAGATACTTCCACAACCATGCCTGCGCATGAGCACTGTCAGCATGTGGCACGACCAAGACAGCTCCCATCACAAAGAAGTACGAGGAGCACACACTCTCGGTGGGCGCGAACATAACGCCCAGGCTACCGAAATAGAAGTACATGGCTGCTCCCCAAGTAAAACACACCGTGGAGATCTTTTTCCAGGTGCAGGGTGTGACAAGGAAGATGCACCAGGCACCCAGCAGCGTGGCTCGTAGGCCGGCATGAAACGAGGCATAGCCGTCAGCGGTGCTGTTGTCCAAGTCTGGCATGAACAAACAGGTGAGCCGGGGCATTAGATGAGGCGAGTCTTCAAGGCTTTTGCCCCCAAATAGCCCCACCTCGTCCTTGGTGGGCTTGCTTTTCTCTCTTGGCTAGGCTTGTAATGGACATGATGCGACCCCCTAGGCACACCGATTTTCTCTTTGAGCGACATCTTGACATGACGGGACAAACGACAGCCTTATCCAGAGAGCAGCAAAGCTTCGCCGGGCCCATACGGGTGTCTTCGCACTCTTCGCAGAATTTCTGGCAGGGAGAGCACTGAGACCAGCGGTGATGAAGCACCAAGCAGCTCGATGACCAGCAACATGCACACATAGACTTTCAAGGAAATTACTGAAAGCTGTGGGCCGCGATGCCACCAGGCGGTAAGCTTGTCGAGGCGGAAGGCCGGATTGTTTGCTGCCAGAGGCAACCCAGGCCGCCAGACCCCGAAGGCAGTGCAGAGAAGGACTACTGGCACAAACCAGCAGGAGCCGATGCCAAGCATGCGCTCGCGCATGTCTTGCGCTGCCATCACGGAGACCCGAACTGAGAGCCAACTGTCGTCAGAGCACATGCGTCGGAACGTGGAGCAAAGCCTGGGGTGAGAGGCCTTCCAGTACGCCCACTGCGGTTCCACCAGTGCCGGCGCCCAATTCCCGGGCTGCAGCGACTCTGACTCACCTGTTCAGTACGAGTGTGCGTTTACTGTGGGTACGTTTAAAGTACCCACAGTTACAGGATCCCGGACTATTTCGCTGCAACCCCTGCCTTGGAGTTTGGTCTTCAGAGAAAAGCTTGGGCGGCTGAAGGACGCGCTCGGTTGGACGATCGCCGCCAGAAGACAAACATGCCCCAAAATTGGCCATCTATGGAAATCGATACGTTTCGGTGAGGGGTTTCACCTCAGGCCTGGGCCAACACATGAATGCTCTCAACATCTGCATTTACAGCAGTCAAGAAGGATACTGTCACGCAACGTGACCAACCGGGAAGCAACCCTCATGCAAGCCATGCTGCACCTAGGCAAGTCACAGGTGCGCCTCATGGCACTCGTCGGCATTGCGGTCGCCTGCATTTCACCAAGCAAAAAGTACTTTGCTTCAGGGCCTGCAGAGCGCAAAGGTTTGAGGGCATAGCATGGTTGACAATTTGCAGGTCTGACAAGGCAATGCACGTCTAGAGAATCCCGGAGCCCAAACTGCAGCAGTCCTGGAGACCCTTCACTAGCTACACTGTGCCCTTCAGGTGAGAAAAGGAGCTTGCGTGGGAGTTCGGCTCTGGGCTGTCTCGAGGCCAATCTGCAAGCTGCAGGCAGAAGTCGGAACGTGGAACCGCGCATATGATCTTCAGTTAATGTGACCTTCCCGACTGTGAGGACCGCCGACCCACAAGTCGAGGCACGCGTGTGTCGCCACTGCCCGGCCGGCCTTGCACGTGCGCTGCTGTGCGCTGCTGTGGGGTTTAGGGTTGTTTAGGGCTATTTAGGGTTTAGGGTTGGTAGCGGCAGCGGATTCGCCAGTCGACTTAGTCGGCTGCACGTCTTCCACTCCTTCCGGAGCCCGGAGCCCGGACAGAGTTGCTTCTTACGTAGCAAGCCTCTTTGCCAGCAGCATCTGCAACAAAACTCTTGAGCATTGAATCGTATTAGTCTTCTTGTTATGCTTCTTCTGCAATTTGGGTTATCTTTTATGAACCTGCTTCTCAGTACCAGTTGGCACTATGCTCATTGCTGTCCGCAGCTCCACCGATCGACGCAGGAAGCTGGTCCCTGCCGGCAGGGCCCCACCGCGGCCTTGTCGACTCTGTCTGGGGAACTTTCATCCCTCCGAGAAAAAACCGCCAGCACCCGGAGCCAAGCATCTCCAATCGAAGTCCGGAGTGCCGTGGAACCATGGCTCTGACCTTGGGAAGGCGGTGTTGTGGAATCTCCGGCTGGGCAGAGACGGCAGAGAAAGGCCGAGGGCAACTGCACGCGTCCATCGGGGCAGAGTCGGGCAGAGACCTCTCCTGTTCTTCAGCCGATGCTGGCCCCGGCTGAAGGCTGCACCGGCGCAGCTAAGGAGCTCTTCGATAGGGTTAATAGGGCCGTTTAGGGTTTTAGAGAGTTAGCGAGCATCGCAGAGAAGCTCCAAGCACTATATGACTATATGGTTCCCAGTGTGCTGAGGCGAGGGATTTACAAGATATTGTCAGTACGGTCTGCAAGACAGCTTATAATGTGCCCTTGTTCTTGCAGGTTCCATAGCACTGCATTGCAATGACAAGCTATCATGCTCACTCAGCATGGAAAAACCTGCTGATGGACGCCCTGAGCCCTACATCCAAGTCCAGACACAGTTGCATTCAACAGGACAGCCTCGTCTTCGAAGAACTGATAAGACCCTTGCAGCTGCCGGCCCTCCTTGAGACTTTCAGGCTCAGTGCAAAAAGCCTAGTGAATCTGAAGGGTGGTCTGGGTCAGCGACGAAGTTTGTGGCTTGGTGCCACTGTTCCCAATGTCCCGATCAGCCCTCGCTCTTGCGATGCACCAGAGGCCTTTGGCATTGACTACATCTGCACTTTGTGCTGGTAGCAGCACCCCACTGAAACCTTCCAAATCAAAGGCCCGCCCCCTTCCCCCCCCCCCCCTTCCCCCCCCTTGAGGAACGGGTAGAAAGGTCGCGTCTCCATGGTTTGTCACATCCAAAATCTCTCAGACGCCAGCAGCCCTGAAGCGGCTTCTCAGGCCGAAGACTTCCGATCTCTAGACCTGCCCTCGCTCAGACTGCAAGAAATCGGGGCCGATGTCAGAACTCGCATCGCGCTGGCATGGTCTTTTTTCGAGTGAGGATGGGATCCGCGAAGAGCTCACGAATCAGTCGGGTATGCCCGGCGCAGACGGCACGATGATTCGAGCCAAGCTTTAAAAGCTCACAGCGGCTGCTCTTAAATGTGCGGGCAGGGCAGCACATGGCAGCGATGAACACCTGTGGCTTTTGCATCCCCTAACAACCCCCAAACACACGGTCACCCTATCACTGCATGTAGAATGTATTAGAGTCATTAGAATCATTAGAATGTAGAAGCCAAGCAAA